CGCAGTGTTCCGGGTTCACAGGAGCCCCTTTTGCGACCTTCAAAGCAAAGCCACGGGGGGGGGGGGGGGAGGCCACGTTCACTTCTCAAGCGTGGAACTAACTTAGCAACTCTTGCAGTGAAAATGAGCCCAAGCTCACAATTCTTTCTTAGCACCAGGAATTCTAGGGCTCAAGTGCGGTCGCAACTCAAGGACTGCCTGTTGTCTAGGAAAGCCCCTCCCAGACCGAGAAACCAGAGCGGAAGCAGATTCGGAGCGGCCGATCACTCACTGAGCATTGGGGGTGTGGAGCAGGACGAAGACGGCCCACTCCCACAGCCCCTCCCTCTCCAGCTGGGCGGCGTAGCTGGCGTTCAGCACCCCCTGGCACTGCTCCGACAGGTGGGTGTAATTCAGGGTGCGGAGGGCCTCCCACAGGTGCCAGCTGAGACGGTGGTCCAGGGGGTCTGCGGTGACGCTGCGGGGGTCCAGCAGCTGATGCAAGTCGTAGCACCTGCAAGGGAAGCCCGAGTCAACCCCCGCATGCCCAGCACCGCCTGGTCCTCCCGGGGGAGCGGCCAGAAGGGAGCACACGCCTGGCCCTGGTGCCCTCTGAGCTGCCCCGTTTGCCTGCAGACGTCTCAGGACCAATCTAGGCAACACCCTCAGCGATAAGGAGGGCTTGGCTAGCACTGATGCTGTCACCTACTTTGGCCCATGGGGCATCTGCAAGAAAAGCCCCCAGCTCCACAGAGGGCCCCAGGGGGACTCCAAAGACCGGAAGCCCGGCTGTTTGTGGCGAATGGAAGCCTGCAAAGAGCAGAGCTTCACTGGGTCCTTGAGCTGAGGAGCCGGGTGGGAATTAAGGAGAGCTGGATTTGGGAGGAGGGGGGAGCGCTTAAAGCGCCAGATTAGAAACGGTGGGTTTTATTCTTGTCTTAGGGCAGGGCAACCACGGCCCCAATTACGATGGGTGGACTTCGACTCCCAGAATTCCTGAGCCACCACAGCAGGGACTAGTCAAAAAGACAAATAGAATTTATTTTAGGATTCAAATAGGACCACAGGAAACCAAGGCAGCCAAGGGGGAGGGGGAAATAAGGAGACCCACACATTGCTTTCTCTGCCCCATTTCCAGCAAAACCCCCACTGGGGAGGTGGGAATTCTGGGAGCCTCAGCGGGAGGGTGGGCTGGGCTAAACCTCCAGGATTCCTGGCCGTCCACCCGGGGGAGAAGGCAAAAGGAGGTACCTGTCACTATACAACTTCAGCAGGTGGAAACACACGTCTCGCAGCGGCCGTTGTGCGTTGTCGTTCTCCGCCACGCAGCCGGCGTCTTCTAGGTAGGGAGGCAGTGGGGGGCAGGCATACTTCTCTCCATCTGGGGAGGCCTGGGAACACAGAGCCCAGTGGGGACAGGCGTCTTCACAAACAGAGACACTCCGATTCTCCCGGGGGGGGGGGTGTTCAATCAAGCACCCCCCCTCACACACACCAGAGCTGCAGCCAGGCCTTCTCCAGCTATAGGGAAGCCTCGGCCTCCTTTGCCCCACGTCCTGTTGAGGGAACCCTCCACTCTGGCCAACAGACTTTCCCCATCAGGAGGACCCACATTTCTGGGTCAGAGTTTAATGAAAACACGAGTGCCTCCCCTCCCTCTGTGGTGTGTGTGTGTGTGTGTGTNAGTAGAATAGAATATTAGTGTGGCAGGCCAAAGATCCCAAAAGGAACTGGCTGCAGGCTTGACACAAGGGTCTTGGCCAGTTCCACTATGAGTCCCTCCCACTGAATTACTGTTGCTGCTTGGTGCTTATTTTACAATACAGTAGTAAAGTACATATACAATATTTGCCCTTACATATGTCCCACAGCATTGTAGCATTTGGTTCTCACTGCTGCCTTGTTACTACTATTGGCTGCCTTAGTACACACTGGCATGTGTTTCCCAAGATCTCCCAAATTTAGACATTTTGGGGTGAAGTCTATAATAAAACATTTCCTGCAATAATTCAAGCTGCTGACAGCAGTTCATGGACTAGTGTAAAATACCCGAGGGAGTACTTGCAGAAAGACATATCTAAGGAACAGCTTTACAACAGACACTCCTGGATCAGATATTGGCAGTAAAAAGGGACCTGTTGAATGAATCACTTCCTTTCTAATCCCAAAGGTGCTTTTTCAAGAGGCAACTGGACTTTCTGATTTTTCTTTGAAGACATTTCTGTTCTCACCCAAGAAGCTTCTTCAGCTCTGGCTGGATGGTGGGGAATGGGAGGATTTATATTTGCCTTCTTTTAGAGAGTCACTGAGGCCACCTGGAGGTTTATCTCTGTCATTAGGGTCACTGGAGTAGTGCAAATGGGTGTTGAGCCTTCTTGGAACTATTGAAACTGTTGCCTCAACAACTCTCTAAAAGAATACAAATGACCAGCTATTTGCGAGGAGTATTAAATCCTTCCTTTCCCCACCATCCAGCCAGAGCTGAAGAAGCTTCTTGGGTGAGAAACGAAACTTCTTCAAAGAAAAACAAGATAGTCCAGTTGCCTCTTGAAAAAGCACCTTTGAGACCACCATGACCTGGATGACTGAGAATCTCCATAGATTTCCTTTCTAATATATTTTCTACTTTGAGAAGGCAAGTTATATACCTTTGCACAATACAAAAACTGGTGTAACAATATTAATGTTGTAAGTTGCAATCACATAGCCCATGGGATGCTACAACTGTTATAAATACGTGTGACTATGAGGATGTTGCCACAGTTGTAAGTGTGAGGACCTGTCATAAGCCACTTTTTTCAGCCCTGTTGTAACTTTGAATGGTTGCTAAAAATGGTTGTAAATTGAGTACTACGTATACCTCCAATCCAAAGACTGGGCACCAGCCTACCATTGTTTTCTAAGAAAGTTTAGGAAAAGATTCTGAGGCTAGAGGCATTCTGGATAAGAAAAATGCTACCTTCTCCTGGAATGGAAAGCCCTCCAATCACTCCTACACTGATGATCCTGTATATAGATTACTACAATATGTTATAATATGAGCTGAACTTGGGGACAACATGAAAATTTCAGCTGGTCCCCAATAATTGGCACAGGCATTAATGTTAATACTTCTGACTCAAACTATGCTAATTGCTAGTTAGCTTCTTATGCAATTTAAGGCATTGGATATGACCTATAACTGTTATGGCGAACCTCTGTCATTCATGCCACAGGTGGCATGCAGAGCCCTCTCTGCGGGCATACAAGCTGTCACCCCAGCTCAGCTCCATCACGCATGTGCGTGTGCCTCCTGCCAGCCAACTGGTTTTTGGGTCTCTGACACGCATGTGAGGGTGGGGCGCATGCGGGAGACACATGCACATGTGCGGGGGGGTGTTGAACATGCACTGCATTATAGGTGCATGTACGGGGGTGCTTTCGGCATGCAGCTATGAAAAGGCTAGCCATCACTGACCTATGAGGGCATTCATAAGGAATAGCACCAGTTCTCTGAGGAGCCAGCTCTCTCCAGTATTCTCTGCCCATCCTATTTGATCAGACTGAGCTGACATGCTTCCAGGCCTATCAATCAACAATGCCATCAGTGACACCTCAAGAGATGTGTATTGCTTGCCCCCTATCCTCCTTCAAAAAGGTCTCACATGGCTTTTATCCCAGGCCCTTCAGTTATGGTGGAGGCTACGTTGCTCATATGATTTTTCTCTACTGAATTGAATGGCTACCTCTTCCAGAGATCTTTTGTTTCTTCTCTGCTTCATTTGTGGTTCTGGAATTGCAAACTAAAAAGCAGTTTTGGTTTGCAATATGTAAGCTGCCGCTTTAGAAATAAATACTAATTTTTTGATGCTTGGTGTATTTTGGGGACCCCACAAATATAGCTTTAATAAGGATTTTGGAGGGATCAAGAAACAAGTCCTTGCTTAATGCAGGGACTTGCAATATAGATGCAACCATTGTTCCTGAAAGATGATAGCCCAGTCAGTCTTTAAGCCATAGGTTTCCCAGCTTTGAAATAAATTATTCCACTGTAAAAGATATTTTTACCTGTAGTACTGGAGAGAGATGGTTCCTCCGAGAACTGGTGTTATCCTACATGGAACACTTTATCCATCATATCCCATATCTTGAATTGCACAAGAAGCTAACTGGTAACCAGCATAGTTTGTGACTGCTCTATTTCAATTTGCACTGTTGCATGTGTGCCCTACTAACTGATCTTGAATACCTCATATCATTGTTTCCAAATTTATGAATGTTGATTAGAATCCAGACTAGTTCTGTAAGCTTGGAAGAATTAAAATGTCAATCATGGAATTTTGTCTGTATTAGTAACAGATGTGTAGGAAAGCCTAATCCATGTTAAGTGAACTTCAGTCAGTGCTTGGATCAATTGTTTCCCATATGGCTTAGAGAAGATAGTTCATTTCCTTTGTTTTCTTTTCCAACTATTGATACTAGTGTAGCACTGTCTTCACAGGTAACAGAACTATATTTTATTCAGAAGAATAATAGGCAGCCGGCCTTATATTATCAAACAATCAGAACAGCTTAATAACTAATTTGTATAAAACAGAAAACAAAATCTAATAGCTTAAGACAGAAACCATGTTAGTCTGTAACTGATTAATCCTCTGAACCAGTGGTGGGATTCAAATATTTTTACTATCGGTGGGTGTGGCTTGGTGGGAGTGGCAGGGGAAGGATACTGTAAAATCTCACCCTACTCCAGGGGAAGGTTACTGCAAAATCCACATTCCCTCTCTATCAGCTGGGACTCAGGAGAAGAGAATAGATGGGAGGGCAGTCAGAGGTGGCATTTACTGGTTCTTTGAACTACTCCAAATTTCCCCTACTGGTTCTCCAGAACTGGTCAAAACCTGAATACTGCTCTGCACCTCTTAGCTAGCTTGTGTATAGGGAGAACAAATTGTTGACATTTACAATGATAGCAACCTACAACTACAGGAAGTCTTTCCCTTACAACTATAATTGAGCCCATTATTATGGTCATAAGTTGTTGTGATCGTAAGTTGAGCCATCAGGTTATTTGATTCAAAGCTGCAATCATTTTTGTGATGGTTGTTAAGTGAATGCAGCAGTCATTAAGCAAATCCATTTTACCCAATTGGTATTTTTACTGGAAGCTGGAAGAAAATGCCCGAAAATAGCAAAATAACCCACATGGATCACAATCAGAACCCTGCAAATGGCCTTAAAAGTGAACCAGTGACCAAGCACCCAAAATGTGATCACCTGACCAGAGATGTGTGCAGCCCTCATAACTCCAAAATTGGTTATAAGAAGCTCTGGAAAGGTTTGGCATAACTTTGAATAGCCATTAAGCAACCAGTCATAAGTTGAGGACTATCTGCATGAGCTGCTCAGGAAAGGTATGCCTGGTGTCTATTATGGTTGTTTCAATATATTTAGAATACATTATTATTATTATGCTTGGTTGTACAGTCAGCCAGATGTTTAGACTAGATTTGGCGTTAGGTCAACCAGTGAGTCCTCTCCATGGACCTGGGGGTGGGACAGTCAGCTGCTGTTCTTTGATGGTGTTAAAAGTATCATCTCAAGATGTAAACAGCATCCTAGTAAAGCTTCCTCTGGCAAGTTTGCTGATGATTTTGTCAACGCCAACAGTATTTAAGTGGTGTTCCAGATGTTTTGAAATTGTACCCAATATGCCTATTACTACTGGTATACTATCTTTGTTTTCTTTTGCAATTGTTCTTTTACTTCTATTTGCAGTTCTTTGTATTTTGCAATTTTCTCCTGTTCTTTTTCTTCTTTTCTGCTGTCTCCAGGTATTGCAATGTCCACAATAGACACTCCTTTTTTTTGTCTTTCTTATCAACAAATGTTAAGTCCGGCATATTGTGTGGCAGATGCTTGTCTGTTTGAATTTTCAAGACCCAAAGCATTTC